AAGCATGGCCAATGAGCGGACTTGAGTATACCCAGTATGTAGGTACCCTGGCCGGACCTGGGCCACTAATGATCCGCTGGTACCCCTCGCGCCGTCAACAAAGGGGAGAGACGGGGTCGGGCTGATTCCGGCTTCGAGTGAGCGGCGGCCGGGCGGAGTTAGGTTATTATGAATACTGCGAATGATACACCGAACGCTACCGTGCGGCACCATATGGTGGAGAGTGGATGACGTCACGCGAGAAGGTGTTATCCCACCGAGAGGGGATCATGATTAGCACCGGAGTTAAATAGAAAGGCCAGTTTAAAATTGATTATTTAGCGTTAATATGTTCAACGATACGTGTTCGATGGTGAATATTAAATGGAAATTAAATCTTAATTATTAACCAATTTGCACCTATACATTTTAAATTTTCATTATTTCATATCAGGGTAAGATGCTAGCTTGATTTCAGCTTGTAAGCCGTAAGGATAATAGGACTCCATATCTTCCCATTGAGAATAGAATACCCGACTTTGACTCAGATAGCGAGGCCGTAAGTCTATGCATGTCGCTCCCCTGTGAGTGATATGCCTGCCAACGTGACTCTCGCACTTACTTTAGGTATTGGGAACAGGGTATGGGTTGCAGTTGCCTACTGAGAATTTGTCACGGGAAGGGAACATTGCTGCTGAAATATTTGCCTTATTTTGTTGGGTTACGTTATTTGAAGTCGGTCGTGCTAATTATGGGTTTCTGATTGGATGACGGGCTGGTGAGATATTTGCCCTTATCATCAGTATGTCCCTTTGAAGGCGTCCATAGTTCGAGCGAACATTCAAGTGATCGGTTTAGGAACGGGTGAGAGAAGTGAGCGGAAGGGAAGAGAATGCGTACAATATTAAACGAAATCTTTAAATTGACGTTCAACTGCGAAGAAGGAACCACACATGCTAGTCCCCGATCGAGTAGCTCCGGCCGTGCAGAGGTCCTTTGAATTATGTCACTGACGACAGTTTAACTATCAGCTGCAGACAGATAGGGCTTAGGGCACCTATAACGCTGGTAGTCGTGGATAAGTGTGAAGCCAACGGAGGCTAACCCGTTCGGTCGCCGGTGCTGTTCCAAAAGCCGCGGCTATACGGAGACGATGCAGGCAGCCCGGACGGACCTAGTTACGCAGCCCGGTTTTAAAGTATTAGATAAGCCCAACGGGGAACGTTTAGCTCTTTATGTAGGCATTTTGGCATCGCTGTTAGTCATGGATTCGTGTAAAGCCGACGAAGACTAACCCGTTTTGGTCGCCGGGCTGGCTCGAAAACCGTGGCTATACGGAGAGGACGCAGGCAGCCCGGACGGACCTTAGTTAACCAGCCCGGTTTTTAAAGGATAGGTTAGGTCCACTATCTCTCCATCGATTGGAAGCGCAGGATGACATTCGAAAAAGCGACGAGGTAGTTGGGAGACGGTTAGGACCCCTGGCGTCCCATCGAGGAGACGAATGCCGCCGGATGAGTAATGCCCCGCGAGGAAACGTATGATGCCGAGGGACAGGGGTAACGCTATATACCGAGCATGTGAGTCGGGTGATCGCTGTAAGACGGTGCTGGCCACACCGCTGTTAGTCGATTTACCACGGCCGTGCAGAGGTCTTTTCGATTAGGTCTGTGACGACAGTTTAACTACCAGCAGCAGAAGATAAGGCTTCGGGCACTTATAGCGCTGGTAGTCGATGATGTGCAACTGCCAGCAGCGGACAGATAGGGCTTCGGGCACCTATGGCGCTGGTAGTTGAGGACGCAAGCGTAGCCGACGAAGGCTAACCCGTTTTGGTTGCTGGGCTGGCCCGAAAACCGCGGCTATACGGAGACGACGCAGGCAGCCCGGACGGACCTTAGTAACCCAGCCCAGCTGTAAAATTTAGATTAGTCCCCGCGGAAAACCCTGACTTAGGAGCGTCCTGCGAGCCCTGGTCTAGGGACTGCGGTCCGGAGACATTTAGTTGTTTCGTGTGTAGGCATTTGGTATAGTCATGGACCCGCTGCAGGTCACATAGCTCAAGGGGCGAGTGTCGAAGCATGGTGGTTGTTGTGTGTTATATTTTTGACGAAAGACAATCTAGTCTGAATTGCATGCAGAGGTCGTCTGACTAACAGAAGTCGTGAAGGGGAAGCGTAACTCAACTAAGGCAATGTTGCATTTCGAAGTCAGTGATTTATCAGATACCTCGAATTGGGCTTATATCTCGACTACGTTCGTTTTTTTTTTTTAAATTAAATCGCGTATTGTTGACCAATCTGAACTTGGGTACCACTGGAGGATTGTAGGTAAACGGGGAAGGGACAGGTTCGCCACCTGCGATATTTTATTATGTATGGAAGGATGGATGAATGGCCGTGTGAGAGGAGAGTCAATGGGGAGAGCGTGAATGAGTTATATCCAGTGGGAGGGAGGCGCCCTCAACTCAGGGGATGACAAGTACAACAGACGCACAAGTGTGAGATTTAGCTGGAACATTGATTGACAGACATTTTTGAGATTTCGTTAGAGTAAAACAGAGGAAAGCGTAGGCAGAGAGAAACATCAGGCAACCTTTTAATATCCCATTGTGAATACCCACCAACCCTGTGACCCATGCCGCTGTACTGTGTGTAGCAGTCTATGTGCCCGCCAGTGAATGACCAGCCTCGCACAAACACTGATCAGTAGCAGCCCCCCCAGCCCGCTACATAAGACTGGGGTCAGCGTGTCGCCCAGGGTCGGAGCACCGTCAGAGGTCCGGTCCCTCTGTGGGCGGTAGAGGGCGAGGTCAGCTGGGGGAGCGAGCGGTAAGGTTTATGACGAGGAGCGAGGTGTCAGACCGGAAAACGAAGGGAGGAGAGTGAGGGGGTCAGACGGTGACCGAGGGAGAAGGGAGAGGGGATACGGGCGCATCAGGGAACGGTTTGGGCAGTGTCAGATTGAAGGCCAGGGGTGGGACTAGACCAGGGACAGAATATACACCAAAACAAACAGCCAGCCTCCGGCATCTGGAAATGCCACACCTGACCAGTATGGATTCAATGGGAAATCCCCAGCAAGTCTGAAAATTTTAGAACCAAAGTACAGTGCACCCATAAAAGTGGACAGTAGGCAGTAGGCACGGTCCAGCTAATTCACTTCAACTGAGTGATGCATCTTCTCCTGCAACGGATCTCGAAAATCGAAAGTCAGGGCCTCGGTGCATAAACGCAAATAATGACACACATTACAAAAGAGTTTCACAATCACAAGCCATGGTGCTCGGAAAACCCGGCCACTGGAACCCAAACATGCGACAAGGAGCATTGCCCTCAGCGGCTGCTGTGGTGCCCTGTCTCCGCCACACTGCTTATGTAGGCCACGCTTGTTTACGTTGTTTCTCGCTGGAAACCATGGGTTAACGAAGGTCCATTCTTCACTAGCTCAAGGGACGGAAGGAAAAAGTGTGGAGAGATAATAGCTGGGAGGACTTCCGAACTCAAAGTCCAGGCCACTGCAATCGTGGCGATATGTGCATCCGGTCAATGTCGAGGATGACATCTGGAAACGCTCCAGGCGGCCAACAAAATAACTACCAGTACCTTTTCACTACAGAGGGACGGTACTTAAACTTTACAAAGGTGTATGCGATGACATTTTATGTGTTACATTTATGCTGCTCTATAGTTCCAGGATAATCCATTTACAAAGACTATTCTTATCACTATAACTAGTATAAATTAAGAACTTTGAGCTCAACCAATCTCGCTCTTGCTCACTATTGACCTTCCCATTCAGAACACTCATCACTGCCTCTGCAGACGAGCGTGTCATGATGACGGCCAGCCTGTCTGGCCAATACATCCCCCCGCCGCTCACCAGCCAGTCCGACCAGAAACGATTGCGACAGACGCTCCATGCCGCATGCGCCGCCCCGCCGGCAGCACCAGCCCTCCCCGTATTCCAGGGACCATTAACCGGCACTGGGCGGGCCGGCGGAACGGGGAGTGTGACTAGAACGAGCACGGACGAAAAACAGCCGCTCTCCAGCGGAAGGGGCAGACGTAATGAACTCGGTCCCGTTCAGGCTTCAGCGTGATACGCACTTCGAAAAATAAGTTATAAATAAACACAGGGTCTATGACGACAGACCAGGGGAATGTTGACGTCTGTAGGGATATCGCTGCCTTATTTCATCACTCATCAGCCATGTTGCGCCACCGGAGCGCTGTTTAACAGCCGCCCCGCCGGGGGTGGTGTTGTCAGTGGCTGGATCTCCGGCCGGCCCAAAGTTCACATACCACCGGTGCCGGGTAGCGCAGCCACCGCCGGCCGCACGGCGCTTTCTCGGACCGCTCCGCCGCCCACCCCGGCGGCGCTCCATCGCGGCCCAGGTATGCTCACCGACACAGGCTGCGGGCCAGCTGGCACGCAATGTGCAGTGGTCGGGAGCCGCCACACAGCGCACAGATGACAACGATAGACAGCGCGCCGCCAGTCTGATGCCATCCGTTCCGAACGACCCGGCTCCCCAGCGATTGGCACGGGGCACGATAGACCGACTGTGCCACTGTTGTAAAATTGTGTTCAGCTGTTCGATACGATATGACGAACAGCCCCCATTTCGTATATTTCTGAGCGTTTCCACAGCAAAGGCACGGGTAAGCAGTGCACGGTAATCCAGCATCCAATGGCTATGGTTCTTTTGTTTCTAAAACGCAACCTTACTACAACTGATGTGTTCGATTGATGCGTAGGTATGACTGCAGGGATTCGGATGTCGGGGTGAAAAGATATAACTCATTATGGAATGATCCCGCTACGATTCCGTGGTACAAAAGTGAAATGAACGGGTAGAACCCCACAATAAAGACATTTTCAAACAATTTCAACATTTTCTTATCTTCAGGTTTAGAGATGTACGCCACAGTCGTCCTTACACCTGCAGCTGGACGCACAGTGGACGCAACGCGATCAAAGAACCTCTAAACCTCAACAAAAACAAACGCCTGTCTTACTTGTAGATGCCGAAGATAGATCCGATGGAGACCAGGCAGTCGATGTTGGACGAGCCATCCAGCGGATCGAAACACACGATGTACTTCCCCTGGCACTTGTCCTCAACCTGAAATTTAACAACAGGTGTTATCACTTCTACGTTAGAATGCCACCAGTACAATTAGGGTAAGGGCGGGTAAGAGTACGCGGGCGATAAGAGTACGCATCAGCCCTTTCGGTTGCTTAGCAACGCGGGTTTGTCGAGTTCATGAAGTGACATGAAGCCGCCAGTGCGTGCATGTCACCAACGGAACGTGGGCGTTGAGCGGCGACGCTGTTGAGTTTAAGGCGATGAATATCATTTTCGAGCGTTATGATATTATTATGATATGGTACAATAATTTTGATACTTGGCAGTTGAGATAAGGTACATTTCCGTGATTGTTGTGGGAAACTTGTGAGGTTATCTGGGGAAATACTGTACAGTGCAATATTCTGTTTGCGAAGTTTTGCACAACGTTTCGGGGTTGTTTTGTGCGCGAATTGCATGTACGGTAAGAGGACGCACTGTTCAGGAGGGTAAGAGTACGCAGAATTATACATTAAATCGAATATACAGAAATATAGAATTATTAATCTATCGCTCAATGACGTTTGTTTTGTAGGTATATCATCAATGGAGCACTGTGATGCAGATGCGTACCCGAAATTCTTCCAAATACGAGTTATTCTCCTTTTTGATTGTGCATTTTTTTAGAAACACACGACATGATTATTTCCTGATTTATAGACTCGAAAGATTTATTTTATGTTTTTCTTTTTGGATACTAGAATTAACTTAAATGCCTTCTGAGTTTGAAGTTAAGCATTTGGACAGTGCAAGCTGCATAGGTGTGTGTTCATATGCTTGCGTACTCCACCCGCCTGGCGTGCGTACTCTTACACACCCCATATGGTAAGAGTACGCAAGTGCAACGGTTCAGAAAATGTCAGTTTGAGACCACTTCCATTTACGCTGAAGGATCGTTGCCCCATGGGTTGATGGCTAATTCAATGAACTTTAATATTCCCTATTTGCGATTTCTTTCCTTCAAATATTAAACAAATGAGAGCAAGAAATCCACTAAGTGCGTACTCTTATACGACTTCACCCTACATTTCCTCAGTATCAGCAAATTATTTACTGAAATATACTAGATGACCAGTGAAAATCATTTGTTTAAATCTGGTAGATAGCGTTGACAAGTATGGATATCACCTCCCAATCAGCATACAACGTCCTCTTTAGGTCTCCGTAACGAATTTAACCATTCTGACATTTTCCAAACTCGTGCTCGAAAACTACTTCCCAACACTGACAAGCAATATCGCATGAACGTCACTGATGTCTCGAACAAAAGCCGCAAAAAGCCACGTAAGTGTCCCAGCCCGAGGTGGCATACACGAAAATGATCACAACTACATCCGTACTAGATATTATTACAGTTTGGCCCACGTGTTAATCGAGCCACTGGAAGCTGCGAGCTGTGAAGCAAGACGCACACCGGGCGCAAGGCGTTCTTAATCAGGCAAAATTGCTTGACAAAAAATTGTAGAGCAATGCCACAGCATATGCATGGCGCAAAGTCTCAATGAATGCCTTACAATGAAATCGTGATTTTTTCCTTTGCACATTTGAGTTCAAGAAGATTGTAATGGAATCGGTCGACCTTTCTAATGCACGTACAAAACGCAAAATAAATGGATCACCCTCGGCAACGTATTCTGGGACCTATGTGGGCATTTTCGGATGTGCTGACTCAGTCTTATGGAGTGCGTCCTCTCCCCCCCCCCCCCCCCATATACGCAAGCTTTCACTCGATCAACTTTTCGACTTACTAGCTTTGAGTTGACTTTGATATAAAGCCCAAGTTGAGTTTTGCCAAACAAAAGTACATGCCTAGATCATTTAGCGCGGCTAAACGTCATGCAAAGGAGATGTTATGTACAAAAAAGTTAGGCTATTTTCTTACGACCAGATCCCGACAGTAACGTACTTGAGCTGAGTTGCTCAGCGATGATTTTTTTTCTTCATAAAACTCGACATTACCTGTGCCGTTATTGTTATCCCGCGCCGTGCTAGGGGCATTTTTAAGCCCCAACCCTTCAGTTTTTTTTTTGCGCGAGTATCTAAAATTCGACGGCGCCCAGCGCCGCCGGTTCTGGCACACCTTATCATATATTTTCTGCACATGCTGTATAAATTTCAGACCGGGGTCGTTCAAGGTCAGGTCACCAGATCACGTCAAGAGACCTTACCTCAGAATAAGTTTGGATGCTCCCCATAGCTACAAAGACTGAACGATCGCTTTGAAACTGTCAGCGATTGATAAGAGTAACAGCAGTGGGTATGTATAAACTATAAAATGTATCTGTATCTCGAAATTTTGATTTATGGAAGTTGGAACCTAAGGTCAGGTCAATTTGGCAAAATTGCAGAACTGGCCAAAGTCAGGTCAAAATTGCACCCGTGTCTCCTCTTTGTGCCCCTAAGGTCATCTCCGGTCATGAAAGGTCACCAACAGCTTTATAACAATAACTTTTGATACACCTGCTACTGAGCGATGGAAACACTTCACATGTATTCAGCTCGATGATTCAGATAGACTGATATGCAATATGACTTTTTCCGATAGGTCATGACCTTGACCAGAGGTCAAATTTTCAAAATGACCTTTCAAAGGCAAAGTACAATTCATTCCGCGCGTCTCGACGAGAGAAACACGATACCGGCAAAACGAATGTCGTGCCTATCTTCAGTCAGAAGATATTAGCGAAAAACACTTTTAGCAAAACAGCTATTTTTAGAGTTTTTGCCCTCTGAATGCTAAACTGTTGAGCTTAGTTTACATCTGAGGACATACCAGCGAAAGAGCGTTAAAGAGCTATCGAATGTGCTTTTCCGTGGAGCTGTAGCTCTATTAACTCCCGAATTATGCGCCGTTTTTTTTTCTCGAAAAAAAGTTGAAATATGCAAAAGTTGACCTTCAATGACATCTTGTAACCAGTCCTATGACCTGCCCAAAAAAACGACTGCAATATTTTCTTCATTATTTTTTACGCTCTTTCGAATGCCGCTTACCGAGTGGCTGTAACCCAGGAGCCAAGTTAGACGGGGGGGGGGGGGGCGGGGACGTCAAAACGCCCCTCCCTTGCCCTCAGTACCTACGACATTGAAAACGCAGACCACCAGCATGGTGCAGGTTAATTTTGGAAGCAGGCAAGAGCCACAGAGTAATGTGTAGAAAATTAACTGATCCTGGAGATTATTAGCTGCATTCACATTAATCTTTCTGCATCTACATCTACTTGAAAATGAGCAGGCATATGAAAATACTAAGCTGATACCACTCATACAAAATTAGCTACAGTTTTTACCCCAACAAGGATTATGTGTGAGGTAGTTGCATAATATATGTATTTGGCAACAGCATGCAAAAAACACAGCATATCCTGCATACAAAAACAAAACATGTCAAGCCATAGGCAAGCATGGTTTGACACTGATACCATTGCTTTGGTGGCAGCTGCCAATGAGTTGAGTCAAAATGCATCTTGCAATGAATTCATATATCTAGCAATTTGCAAGATTATGATTATGCATTGAATCAAGTAAAAATAATTGAAGTGAAATGTACTTTGGCAGTATTGTGGGCATATTACAAATTTATAATTGCCACTTTTAAACAGGCCTTTTTATCAATTAAATTATAAATATGCAGTACAAATTAAATATGCAGTACAGGCAGCATTCAGCATTGTCAACCATGGTTGTGGCCTGATCTGGTGTTGTGTAATGTGCAGGCCAGGACTAATAAAGCTGCAAAACATCCAGCTCAGCAGGTAGCTACAGCAGTAGCATCAACAATACTTTTACCATATATAGTCCCATAGTACTCACAGATGAGACCTAGAGAGCACAAAGAGGAAATAGGTAAATGAATCATTAGGGAACATCTTAAATCAGATGCACCTGACAGCCTGATTGTGCATCTCAACAGTCAAAAATCTCAGCAGCTGACCAAATTAGCAAAAGTGATTGCAAATGACCTGCTTAGAACAATCAAGCATTTATGTGTAACAGAGCCTAGATGGATTACTGAATCTTACCAATTACAGAAACTTTAAAAATATAGGTATACTGTATAGCTACATTCATCAAGAATTTTGGCATGGGGCACTGGTAAGCCCTGGTTAACCTTTTGTATTTCTCTAAGGTATCACAATTTGTATTACCCTAAAGATTATCATTCATTCACAAACAAGAGAAACATACCTCAATAACATTTTCATTTTCCTCTGAAACAAGCAGGCAAGTAGTGTACGAAGATCTCAGGAGATTGATGAACAGATCATTAGACAGGACATCCAGTTTCTTCACATCTTCACCCTGGACATTGGTGTTGCCAGCCATTCCATACCTGCAAACAGCGATACCAGCCAAATTAACAGTTGGACACTGAAACTAGCAACCAGTCACAAGAAAGCGAATGTATCAGTGCAAGATTAATTTAATAAAGGTTAAAACAATACACTTTCAGCTTAGATGCTGATACTTATCACATTGCTGTCAATTATCGAGGAAAGATAAGCTATGTCGGCATTATTCAGTTAAATGGTGGGTTCAGTCAGTAGGTCAATGCTAAAAATGAAACAGAAAACAACACATACATGACACATGCACATAAAAAATGCTTACAATTGTGCAATTCCAGCCTTTCTGACAGCTGAACTGATGGCTTTCACCGCACTCTGGATGGCGGTGAGGAGAGTTGTCAAATCTCCAGTTGCTCCTGGGACCTTCCTTTGTTCAGCCAGGATGAAACGCGTGAGCGTCATACAGTCTGTGTCAATAGCTTGTCCCGACATCTTGTAAACTTATTTCAACCACCCTTCTACAAAACGAGCAGATCCACCGAACTTCTCACTGACAACCGAAGCAACCCGACGATGGGAATGCACCCCACGCACCCACACCCGCCAAGACGCCACACCGTTTTGTGTTTTGTTTGCATGCGCCATCAAACGTCTATGACCCACCATTTCTGTCTCATTCTATAACTTATAAAATGACGTCATTGGCATTGACCAATGGGACGCCAAGTACGTGGCGTCTGCAAAACTGAAAAGATTATATGCCTTTTGTCCATTTGTCTTGTGAGTATCATCCAAAGTTTTCTTGAATGCCATGAAAATTAATCGAAATGAGCCTTTTGATATGCAGGGACCAAATGAAATTTAGCTGAAAGTCAATGGAAGTTTTCCGACTCTGACATATCCAAGCACCTAATGTACGTCATCAGACTGTTTACTCTTGTAGAAAACCTTACTTTTACCCAACTTTTACCGCAACCATGGTAACATAAGCAATCGATGCTGTCCTTGACTGACCTCCAAAATACGAGGCTGTGATTGGTTGATAGGTGACACGCCTCCTGCCGGCACTCAAGAAGGGTGAGTATTGAAGCATCCAAGAGCGCAGCATCCAAGGGACGCAACATCCAAAACCTTAGCATCCAGCGATCAAAACGTCCAAATAACATCCAAAACCGACCCCTTAGGGATGATTCAGAGCATCCAAGAGCGAAACATCCAAAACTGCAACATCCAGGACCACAGCATCCAAAATCGTATCATCCAAATTGGCAGCAACCAAGGATGAAGAATTGCAGCATCCAAGAGTGAAACATCCAAGGGTGCAAGCATCCAAAACCGTTTCATCCAAAAAACATTTCTGGCACCGCAGCATCCAAGACCGTATCATCCAAAATAGTGACATCTGTTGTACAAGCTGCAAACTATTAGTTCAATGGCTGTCCGATAGGTGGTGGCACGTACGGTTCCTAAGTGACAGAATTGTATGACATCACTGAGTCTCTATACAGTGGCATCCCTATAATGACCTTACCTTACATCCTAAAGACGGAGGTGCGTAGCTGCTGGTAGCGACATCGCTGCGATGCCACTACAAACCTGACAGATGACATGAAGACGCATTGCAGCGTATCCAAGCGCGGCGCTATGTAGGTAGGCTGAAGTGTCGATAATGGAGACCGATACCGAAAGTGGGTTTATTAATTGTCCTTTCAGTTTTCACACCAGAAGTGCCTAATAAGTCGTGTAGTGTCCACTGTCCCCGTAACCAAGCCTCCGCAAGGATCTTCATCTCACCGTCAGATCGCGCTTATCATCGTCAGCTCCTCCCGTTCCTTCACAGTTACCTTTTTCCTGTCCTATGTGATATATTCCATGTTCCAGAGGGCAAAAAATATAAAAATAGCCGTTTATACCAGGGGTGCGGAGCCGGAGCCGGAGCAGCCGGAGCCGGAGCAGCCGGAGCCGGCATATTTTGCCCAGAGCCGGAGCCGGAGCCGTGATACAATATAGCCCGTAGCCGGAACCAGAGCCGGAGTCGTCAAAAAAGGGGGCGACTCCGGCTCTTTTTTTAAGAGGAAAAAATTATTGACCTAGTTCGGTTTGACAATACAGGGCCATGTGGTATTCACTATTCAAATTAGCTTTGTTATGCAAATACAGAGGCAACGTGTACCTACCAATCCAATTTCAATCGCCCTTTCTCTTCCACCCGTAGGTATTTAATTAATCGCATAGGGGATGTACTGAGAAGGAGCCGGAGCCGCCGGAGCCGGACCATTTTACTCGGAGCCGGAGCCGGAGCCGGACCGTCTGAAATGTCCATGGCTCTGCATCCCTGGTTTATACGAAAAAAAGTTTTAGGTAACAGATTTTGACTGAAGGGAGCCACGACATTACTTTTGCCAGCAACGTGTTCCCCTCGTCGAGTCGCGTCGAATGAAATTCGGACTTTTAAGGTCATTTGGAAAATTTGACCTCGGGTCAGGGCATGGCCTGACCGGAAAGGGCCATGCTGCATATCAGTCGATCCGTATCACCGAGTTAAACACATCTGACATGTTTTTACCGCTCTAGCACGTCTGTCGTCTCTTATATCAATTCAAAAGAAATAGTTTTAAAAAACTGCTGGTGACCCTTCAGGACCTGAGATAACCTCAGGGTCATTCAGAGGAGTAACGAGTGCAATATTCGGGTGTGTCATGTTTTCCAGTAAACCGATGTTTGAGAGCAGGGATGCGGAGTCGGAGTCGGAGTCGGAGTCGCCCGGAGTCGTGGTAGCGAGCCCGGAGTCGGAGTCGGAGTCGGAGTCGACCAGGCTGCCTTGATTCCGACTCCGGGAAGCTTATCAAAATTTGTGGCGTTGCTTGCTGGAAATAAATTTATCTGGAGATCTGGGGAGGTATCCCACAGATCTCCCCGGTTGGGGAGGTATCCCCCAGCTCTCCCCGGGGTCGGGTGGTGTTTGCCGGGATTAGGGCGCCGCCCGACTTGGCCAGGTGGGCCGCACAGGGCAATTTTAAATGTTTTGTTTGTTTCTTATAAGGTGTGATGAATGCGGATGAGTGACTATGTATCAAAAAAGATTATGAAAAAAACTGTGATCAATGATTGGACAGTGTTAATGATTGCGTCGTATTTCGCATCAGACCCGGAGTCGGAGTCGGAGTCGGAGTCGGAAATCGCTACCACGACTCCGCATCCCTGGAAATGTTTAGGTAGCATGGGCGTCGAAAGCGGGGGGACGGGGGGATCCGCAGTCGAGGAATCCGGGGGGGGGACATCCCCTCCAAAAAATCGCCCATAAAGCATTTCAAAAGTGACTATGTATTTGCAACGGTCATTCACAATGGAGTCATGTAAACAGAAATAAACCATTTTTAAAAGAATACTGGTGCTGGTCAGTTCGACGGTACAACTGAGAACTCAGACACTTCAGCGGCTCAGGTACACCCACCAAAGACTGAAGTTCGGTCCTCTGGGTGGGGTGACAGCTGCATAAGCCACACATTCGAGTATTCACAATCCTCAAGCAAGACCCCCACTTTTAAACGGCCATTCTCCCGTGCTAGGTAAAACGACAGCCGAAGGGGCTCACCAGTTCACTATGACCGAGTACCTGATGCTGGTGTGAGAGGTCAGATGACCTCGCCACGGTCTGGGATTTTTTTTATTGGGTTAGGCCTTTTCGGTCTGACGAGACCATTTCAGAGATGGAAGGAGATAGGAATTAGGGGGAGGGGGAGGGGGGACATTTGGTCTGGGCGAGCACCCTGGTGAGTCGCCGAGGCTGAGCCCGTCCAGAGGGCAGGCCGACCAGCACCCCAAGCACTCACCAATCACCGCACCCGGTTATGGGCGTGCTCTTATCGGGGGTTCGCGCATGGGATAAAGTTGCCCGTCCAGCCCGGAACAAGGGGTTGAGGCGTGGAGGAGAGGGATTTGAGTTTGACTGTCCTGAGGATAGAAATGACGGAACGGTGTGTGGTATGAGATGGTCCAGGAGGTTTGAATACTCAGTGTATAGGCCTATATTGGTCTGAACCCTTTACTGATACAACCACCGTCCACCAGTCACAACGGCCAACAGAACCTCTAGCTCTTATCCCCCCCCCGTCCTTTGGAAACCGCTAATTTTTATTGTCATCCACGAATTCCACGCGTACCGTAAACGACCGTCTAAAACGGCTTCATAAATTTCGACTAACCAGTTAAAGAGCAATGAGCATGACTTCAAGCCAGAGAATGTCGACTCTGACTTCGGAGTCGAAGTACAAACGACTTCGGTTACTCCAGCTCCGACTCTAGCCAGAGCTGTCAAGTCGAGCTGACGAGCTGTCAAGCTCCGGCTCCGATCCCGCAGTCCTGCAGTTGCACTACACAAAACTTCAAACTTCTAAGAAATGAGTTATACGGTTAAAAGGACCACATTTTTTTAGAGGCAGGGCTACTTGACTTGGTGAGTGGTGACCAGACCTTAGTTAGGTGTTCTGGCATCAAACTTGTTACACGGGCTGCAAAATTAAGGTGTTTTGGAAGTGATTCATACACGAGTCAAACAGAAATTGTGAGTAGTGATTAATAAAGCATCCCCCAATGCAGGTATGTATGCATTACCTATCCGACTGGTGGGCGGTGGTGGGCATTTCGATAACTCCCATCGATAACGATTATCGAATTCGTTATCGACGATACCGTTTTTTGTGTTTATCGTTATTGATTATCGTTATCGAAGTAATGTTATCGAAGTCCCCGTTTCGGTCAATCGATAACGATAACTTCATCAAATAGACGCGAGCGTATTAAAGAGAATAGCTCACCTTCAACATGGGGTTATGAACTGAGATAGCAGTTCTGTAGATTGAACACTGAAAAAATGCTATTAGGAATGTCTTTTCGCCCAACAAGCTCTGTCGCCAAAGATATTCAAGTTTTTGTTTGTATGTTTGTTTGCTTGTTTGTACAAGAAAAATGACATTTTCACTGTTCTAAACACTCCTTTTTGTGTAAGCAGCTGGGTAATAATGGTGTTGTATGAGCAAATGGGTTAAATACTGATAAGAAGCGTATTCCTTTCAAATGTTTTATCCCTTCGATTCCTCTCTTTTTTGAAGTTATCGTTATCGTTATCGCGTTATCGAAGTGACCCATTTGGTTCTCGAGTTATCGTTATCGAAGTCGCTGACTTCGAAAGAGGTTATCGAATTATCGTTATCGAAGCCCTGCTCAAGTTACAAGTGCTCACCACTGCTGGTGGCATAGGAACAATTACCTAGGTATTGGTATATCCTGATAGAAGACCAGAGGCGTTGTCCTTAACAGTGTCAAAATGAATCTGACTTCAAACGTGTGCTGTGTATGAATTCGGTCTATTACCAATAGAGTGATAACGCATCGGCCCGAAAAAGTACGGTAACAATACCTAATATTGGGTTTTTAGCCGGACGATCCGTCCCCCCTGTCGAAAATCCGTGGCGACGCCCCTGATAGGTAGGTAAACGACATTCGTCCAAAAGAGGCGCATTTCCATTTTCTCACGTTGATTTATGATGGAGAGGTCGCAAAATTGACCTGACCTCAGGACACATATATACCTATAAATATTCCGAGAAGTAAACATTTATTATAAGGTATACCAAAGATAAACAGAGGTCAGCGAGGGGCCTCCCAAAGGCCGGTATGGGCCCCCAGAGGCCAATGACGGCCCGGGCCTGTGCGTGACGCTCAAAGGTCAGTCTTGGGCCCCCTGAAACCATAATAGGGCCATCAGTGGCCGGTGTAGAGACCACGTAGGCCGGCTGGGGGCCCATAGAGGCCAGTTTGGGGCCCTCAGAGGCCAGTGTGGGTCCTTTGAATGAGACGAAATGACCAACAACCTTAAAAATGGGCAACAGCGGCTTCCTATAGTCACGGGTACGGGGTAGCACGCTCG